CCTCCTGCTGGTGCCAACATATCGCCCTCTGCTGAGAAGAATTGGGCCAACAAAGAAGACTGTCATTGTGTGGCCCACTGATGCAGCATATGTGCTCCAGGACTGCTTCTAGTGCACAGATTGGCAGGTCTTCAGACAAGCAACAACAAAAGAGGGAGAGGTGGACCTAGAGGAATACACCTCCTCGGTCCTTGGATTCATCTCCAAAGCCCTTTTCAGACTGACATTCTGGAACATTTGTGGACAATTCAATCCGGTTTTTAACCGGAACTGTGTTTTCAGACACACCACTTTTGTACCGGAACTTGTCCTTTCGGCTGCGTTCACACAGCAGGGAAAAGTTCCAGATGTCTGGCGGGGGGGGGGGGGGGGGGGGGGGGGGATCGGACTCATGTTAAGAAGAAGAAGAAGAAGAAGAAGAAAACACCATTTCTATAGCGCCTCTCAAGATAAAAATCACGAGGCGCTTAAGCATAATTCTGCGCACACGAAGACGCATAAGAGACCTGGATGATGAAGCTCAATAGTTAAAGGAATCACTGAAGCGGTGTGAAGCGCTCCGTCGCGCGTCTAGGCGGTACCGTAGGAGGCGAGCTGCCGTGGTTCACCGCATGCTACAGCAGCGGGCTATCTAGGTGCGCACGGCGTCCCCCGGTCCCCTCCTCCTCTCCCTCCCTCTTGTCCGGAACTTTACCTCACCAGTCTGAAGCAGCCACCCTGTCCATAACAAGTCCGGACCTGTTACTAGGGGCTTCGTCCGGATAAATTCCGGAACACGTTATCCGGATGTTTGTATTCAGACAGAAAGGTCTTACGGACAGATTCCGGAACATTTCCGTTTTTCATGGCCTGTCTGAAGGGGGCTCAAGTGTACTGAGGATGTCACCATTACCAAGACAATAACATGCTACCCCAACCAGAAACCCTGGCTTAATGCTGAGGTGAGAGGTCTGCTGAAAGCCAGGGATGCCTTATTCAGGGCGGGTGAGACATCAGCACTGAGAGTGGCAAGGAAAGAACTGGCGGTAGGCATAGCAAGAGCTAAAGCCATATACGCTCAGAAAATCCAGGGGCATTTCTCCTCCAACGACACCCGAAGCATGGGGAAGGGAATAAAGTGCATCACAGACTATAATACCAAAGATGCACAATGCCCAAATGACCCGTCTCTGCCAGATACACTCAATAGATTCTACGCCCGCTTTGAGGACCCTGACACCCCCCCCCCCCCCCCCCTCACTCTATCAGTCTCACTCCATTACCTGGTGATACACCCCTTAGTGTGTCTACAGGTGACATAATTAAAACCCTCAAAGGAATTAATCCTCGCAAAGCTGCTGGCCCTGATAACATCCCTGGGCGAGTACTGAGGGACTGTGCACACCAGCTGTCTGGGGTGCTGGCAGTCATTTTTAACACCTCACTGTCTCTGGCATCCGTCCCCACCTGCCTAAAGACTGCCACTATTGTTCTGGTCCCAAATTGCTCCACAGTGAAATTCCTCAATGACTACAGACTAATTGCTCTTACCCCTGTAGTCATGAAGTGCTTTGAGAGGTCGGTTATGGCTCACATCAAAGACTCCATCGACGTCACTGTGGACCCTCACCAGTACGCTTACAAGAAAAACCGGTTCACTGATGATGCCATCTCATCAGTGGCCCACACAGCTCTCACTCACTTAGAGAGCAGGAACTCAAAAAAAAAATTAAAAAAAGAAGAGCGAGAGAGCAGGAACTCATACGTCCATCTGTTTTCCTTGGATTTTTCCTCTGCCTTCAACACCATCATCCCACGGACTCTGGTACAGAAACTCTCCACTCTTGGACTGAGCCCCATAATGGGGAACTGGGTGCTGGACTTTTTGACTGACAGACCCCAGACTGTCAGGATCCACAACACTATCTCCATTTCCATCACCCTCACTCAGCACAGGCACACCCCAAGGCTGTGTGCTGAGCTCCCTCCTGTTCACTCTGCTGACATATGACTGCTCGGCGAGACATCCCAGCTGCCATATTGTGAAGTTTGCGGATGGCACAACAGTAGTAGGAGGCATCACTGACAACGATGAGTCAGAGTACAGAGAGGAGGTAGAACATCTGGTGCAGTGGTGCAGAGAAAATAATCTCTGCATCAATGTGAAGAAAACCAAGGAGATGGTGGTGGACTTCAGAAGGAACCGGTGCCCCCTCCCCTCCTGTACACTGGAGGAGAAGCTGTGGAAGTAGTCTCCTGCTCTAGGTACCTGGGTGTGCATATCACTGAGGACCATTTATGTCCACTGTGAGCAACCATCTTTGAACAGAGGCGGTGGTTTACGACACCAACTGTCTGCCATCTATAATCCAGTTTTGAGATCCCTTCCCAGATGCCTCAATGCCCACGCATATCCTGGGCCAACTGACCTCAGGAATTCACATGATAGGGTGGGGCCAGGTTTCACAATGAGCTCACCCGAAACTCTGGCTGAATAGGACCCACACCCACCCTCACACCTTGGCTCATGTGTTTATGTAGAAGATCATCGGGGGTCTTTTGTTCCCTCTTCGGGGGGAAACTCCCACTGGGTTTAAATCTGGGACTCTCCACCATTTGACCTTAGAACCGAAGAAGCCTCTCGGATGAGAGGTGAAACGTCTTCAAGCAACTCAAAGAAGTCCAGACGCTTTTCTTTCAAAGCTCATTAGAATATCACTGAGGACCTCACATGGAGCACCAACACTTCCTGGCTCGTCAGGAAAGCTCACCAGCGTCTCTACTTCCTTAGGAAGTTGTGGCGAGCTGGACTTCGGAGCTCAGTCCTGAGGCGCTTTTACCATGGTGCAGTGGAGAGTGTCGTGTGCACCTGCATCACTGTGTGGCACGGTAGCTGTACTGTCGCTGAGAGGAAAGCTCTGCAGAGAGTGGTTAGGGCTGCCCAGAGGCGTGTGGGGAGCGGCCTCCCTGAAATCACAGACATCTACACAACATGGTGTAGGGGTAGGGCCCTCAACATCATGAAGGACTACACACACTGCACATGGTCTCTTCCAACCCCTCCCCTCAGGCAGGAGGTTGAGGAGCATCTGGAGCAGGACCACCAGGTTCAGAAACAGCTTCTTCCCTGAAGCTGTCAGACTGTTAAATTCTGGCCATGCTCGGTAGACCCCCCCCCCCCCCCCCCAAAAAAAAAAAACACACACACACACACACAAACACACACATACACACATACACACATTGGTACTGAGAGCACCTTTAGAGTGGACTAATTTCACTTGCACACACACTTATATTTAGTTATCTATGGAATACTGTACATGCCAAGCTCGGTGCTTGTTTTATCCTTAGTGCTTTTTGCTCTTTTCCTGCGGCTTTATACCGGGTCCTGAGTTCAAATTTCGTATCACAAGTGTGTAAATGTGAACTGGTATGACAATAAAAGCTTCTTAATCTTAATGCTGATTCTGCTATTCACTTCCATTGCTTATGCTAAGCTAAAGCAGCCGGACTGATGCCAGGCCAGGAGAATTACTGCGCTGGTCACAAAATGCTTTTTCTCACTTGTCTGACTCTGGGGAATGTGGTAATAGACCAAATTTCCCTTAGGGGTGGAAAATCCCTTTAATGAAAAATAAAGCACCATGCCCTGTTCACCAGTTCATTCCTCTTGAATAAATTTACGTTTGACCCTTCTTCAGAAAAGTTCCGTTAATGATGTCATGAGACATTCTGCTCTTTCGGCCAAACATTTAAAACATTGTCCTGTTTGAATTAGTTTACAGATTAAATATATTTCAAAATCAGAGCAAAACTGAATAGAGAAATAGATATCCTGGTGCATTTTTTTGCTATTTTTCACTGCTTTTTTAACTCTAAAACCTATAATTGATCAGTTGGTCAACGCTTTACGTAAAAGATTTGAATCTATGAATGCAAATCATAAAGTCAGCGAGGATCCTACCTTGCAACAACACCAAGCAACCAAATAATAGACAAACTGGAACATGACTGAATACTGAACGGTACCAGTATAGCTGCTGCACTTATCAAAGACAAAATATGTGTTTTAATGTATAAGAGATCTGAAGCTGCTCCCAGTAGCTCATTAGGGTCGTCATAGTAACCATACAGCTGTGTCTCTTACTGGCTAACAGAAAAGCAAAGTGAAAAAAGCAGCTGCTGTTCAAACACTGTGGTTGTGTTAAATATTTATTAAACCGTGAGTAGCTGGAGGCTCTGATGATCACACGTGAATGCTTTGTGTAGATGATAACATCTGAAAATGACCTTTCGGTTCATGTTTTGAAGAGAATATTTTCAGCTGACTTATAAATGTGGAGGCTTGGGTGTGCACACTGCTCTCTGCTGTGGAATGATTGAAACACGTTTTCCAAAAGACAAAACTGACTGAATCACAAGCAGATTACTAATGAATGCCATTCAACGCCATGATACCACCCACCCATTTACAGTAGGGATGGTTGGCTCACTGAGTCCATCCTCTGGACAGGGTCTGGAGGACTCAGCCTCTCAAGTCGGTTGTTGTTCGAATTCTGTTCGATTAACAGAACTGCTCTGCCACACAAACATCATGCCTCTGCAGCGCATTCCTCTGTGGGACCAGCACACGCGCACGTGCGCACACACACAACCATAGACGCGTGCACGCACACACACACAGCGCCTCCAACCTCACGCGTCTTTAAGGTCAGAGGACATTTACGCACGGATGGGAGCCGCTGATTAGCTGTAATTCCGCACGTTTGCTTAATTCCCCGCCAAGATCATTTCTTACGTTGCATATTTGATTGTGCGCGTGCTCGTCCTGCAGTGTTTATTTGTTTTTTAATTTTTTTTTTGTCCTGTTAAGTTGACACAGCTGGGAACCTCTATGCCAGCAGAGCTTCCATCCTCTGATGTTGAAAAGAAAACTGCAGCAGCGGGAAAAACGGACCTTTTATCAGCCATCAGTCACGTGACTGAGCATCTGGAACTGCTGGTTCACATCTCCTTACCTTAAAGTCGAGATTTCGGCGGGACGTGTGAGTGTCTTCCTTCTTTTTTTTTACCGCGTTAACGGAGCCTATTCCACAGCTGATGGTTCCAGCGCAGCGCGGAGAGGACACGAGGAGAGGGGAGAAGAGGATGGAGGATGGAGGAGCAGCAGTGGTGGATCATCCTCACACACGCTCGCTCCCCACTGAAATATTACCATCGAGCGATTGGTCCTCCGCTTCTCTCCTCTTCTCTAGGAGGAGCCAACTCTGAAGCTTCAAACAGACGTGGCCAACAAATCAGCCTGGATCCTATAGTCTAAATCATATTAATGAATACCTCTTAATTTTATTCATAAACGGTTTTCAGTGTTACAATACTGTGCGCAATACGTTCAAGAACATTCATCCAGAACTAGTTTTTAAATTATTTTAAAATAATTAAACATAATCTTCCCCAAATAAAATAAACTAACCCGTTTATTGTGGTAAATTATCATTTTGTGAGGACACCACCCAGTTTTCATTTTTTTACTTTTCCCAAACTGAACAGTTTTAATCTAAGAGTGGTAAATTATCATTTTGTGAGGACACCACCCAGTTTTCATTTTTTTTACTTTTCCCAAACTGAACAGTTTTAATCTAAGAGCCTCGTCAACATGGCACAGCTTTAAAGGGGTGGCTTACTCTTTAATCAATACATTGCAGTGGTCTAGTAGGCATAAATGCCTTACCCCTACTGCACACTGAAGCATCAGCGGTGCAGAACAGCAGCCGCGAAGCGTCACTGCTTCAAAAAGAATCCATTATAGTCTATGGGGGTCATTCAAAACAACCAACACTGACATTTTCAGGTTCTTCCGGAACACTTCCAAGTTCTGCAGTTAATATAGGGATAGACACTTAATAACATAAGGTTTCAATGTAAAACCCCTAGTAATTTTCAAAATAAAAGACTATTGCAGCAGCACATCAATACATTTGATCAAATGGTTTGTTTACTCCCTGCATTGTTTGAGAAGTGCAACGGTGAGTTTTTCATGGCTTTAATCCTGGCAGTGGAGAAGAACAATATCAGTTGACATCAAACAGCGATATCACACGTGATTCCTTCTTTTTGGTTTAGTGGTGGATGGCCTAAGTAAACCATGATTGTTGAAGCTCCAAGGGATTTTGTGATTCTTGCAAGTTCAGTGAGGAGCAAGGCAGGGAAGCCACTCCACGGCTGAGGTTCTCCCGGCGTGTACAGACACACAGCGACAGTTGCTAGTAAACCATTCCACTTCTGTTCCGCTCCGCTGATGCTTCCAGTGTGAAGTAAGGGTTACACGCCAAACTCACATAGAAGCCCACAAACGCCTGGCCCAGCACAAAATATCAGAGCTGTGCTTCAAATGGGAGGATTTGGAGCAGTGCTTGAAGTGGAAAGAATAAGTGCTGCTACTCCCCGTACAAAAGTGTTGGGGGTTGAGGCCCTCCCCAATGCACAATGAACTTGGAAGGTACACAGGTCATATGACCAGTTTCTTTCAGCAATAGCAGATCTCATTTGCAGGTACACACATATTTTCTGGATGCAAAGTCATCATTGGGGTCATTTTATGCTGCTTCTGGGCTGAGTTTATGATAGCCAGGCCACTTAAGTGTTCTTGTGGCGTTAATGAGCCTTGGTTTGAGAAGCTTCACTCAGCAGAAGCAACTGTAACAGGGAGACAGGGCTGACTTCCAACTTCAGCACTGACCCCATTATGACTCATTAGATTTAGACGAGTTTTGGTCTAAAAGGGAAATTACACAATAACATTAATGTAAATATGTCCCAATATGTTCTGTGTATTAGAAGGGGCGGCACTGGTGGGGACTGGAAAGCTGGTTAGCTTCTGTGCTCAGCTGTTTCTGGACGCTAAAACAACAACAGTCTTTACTTTGCTCAGCTGATTGCTGTAAACAAAAATAACTCTAAAATCCTGTTTGACACCATAAACTAGATTGTTTCCCCTCACGCCCCTCTTGTGCCATTTTACACAAGAATTGATTGTAACAACTTTCAAACATTCTTTGAGAATAAAATCAGAAATATCAGGGCAAGTTCCCCCGCCCCATCCTTTCTGCCAATCATGGTCTATCTTTACTCCTGTAGATTTCCAGGATATTTGCCTCATTCAGAAACACATGAAACCAGCCTCATGCCCTGCTGATTTTTAGCCTGGCCTGCCAGACTCCTCCTCTGTTTAATTCTGCACAGAGAAAGGGTCTGGGAACTCTCTTATTCAAATAGCCCCACCCCCTGAGAATTCTAACCGAGCCAATCAGCGCTGAGTAGCGTGCGTCACACACCACAATGCCAAGTTTGTCATAAACATGGCGACCGAAGCGGAGTTCACTGCGGCTCTTTCCTCTGTTCAATTCAATTCAATTCAAGTTTATTTATATAGTGCCAAATCAGGACAAGAGTCGTCTCAAGGCACTTCACACAGTAAGCATTCCATTACCGGTCAGTTCATTAAGCTAATCAGTAAAAAGTTTCCTATATAAGGAACCCAGCAGGTCGTATCAGCTCACTGACTAGTGTCAGAGTCTTTACAGCAATCCTCATACTAAGCAAGCATGTAGAGACAGTGGAGAGGAAAACTCCCTTTTAACAGGAAGAAACCTCCAGAGGATCCTGGCTCAGTATAAGCAGCCATCCACCACGACTCACTGGTTCTAAATGACTTGGATACGTCTTTAAAACTACAACAAGTAGAAGTGCTAAAAGCCTTTCTTCTAAAGACAGATGTTGACTCTGTCGCAGCATTGTGGACGTCTCACACAGGGATGCTCAGTTTCTCATAAACAACGAAGACAGCGGCTGAGTTCGCTGTGGCTCTTTCCTCTGTTCTAAATGACTAGAATGTCTTTAAAACCACAACAAGTAGAAGTGCTAAAAGCATTTCTTCTAAAGAAAGATGTTTGCGCTGTTGCCAGAAGCCATTTTTGACTACAGCTAAAAAACTACAGCGTTGCGCGGTACAGTCTGCATTTCCGTCTTTTTTCTGATTGGTTCTTTTTTTAACTGAATCATGTCATACACTCATGACACTCAGGTCATGTGCCTCTCTGCCTGTGAGTTACCAGACTCTTTCTCTGTGCAGAATTAAACAGAGGGCGAGTCTGGCAGGCCAGGTTTGCTGATTTCATTCCTACTATCTTGTTAGTCAGGATGTTTGACCAAATGGGCCCATGCATTGTAGATTTTATTAACTTATCTCTAAAATCTGGCTCTGTACCATCTGTTTTCTAACATGCAGCTGTTGAACCTATCCTTTAAAAAAAAACAAGTTTGGACCAAGCCCCCACAATTCGGGTCTGAAAGTAATAAATTGCAGTTCCACCCTCATCCGCTGGGGGCTGGTGTCACAAGCGAGCAAATCCTCATTGACTCCCATGTTAAAAAATACCTATTTCACAGCAGAAATAAACATGTTTATAGCCTGGTTCCAAAACATGTTTTAGGTTTAGTAGATCTAGTTTATACTCATGACAACTCTGAGGGGGGTGAATTTTTTTGTCACTCTTCTGTTTAAGTGTATTAAAAGCCTAAAATTCTGTATAAGTAATGAGCATCAGACCCACGTGACCGCAGAGCTAGCTCCATGGAAAGGCCTCAGTAGAGCCTCAGCCTCGCCTGAAAACTGTTTCGCGATTTTCAGTCTTTCAACTTAGACCATTAGTTGTGGCGTTTGTGTATTCTTTTTTGGATATTATTTGTACAATTGTTGGACAAAATGACTTGCTGTGGGATTAATTGCACTAATAGAGTGTATGTTAAATGCACTGGGTTTTACCCATCAACATATACCCTATTATATACATATATATATATATATATATATATATATATATATATATATATATATAGATATATATATATAGATATATATATATATATATATCAGTGGCGGCTGGCCAGTGGAGGGCGATAGGGCGCCGCCCTCCCAGTTTTTCCGTGTTTTTAATTTTTATTTAAAAAAATAAAGAAATAAAATTAACAATAATCACATATTCTAAGTTAATTGTGTGTTTTGTAACAAAAATAAATCATATATATATATATATATATATATATATATATATATATATATATATATATATATTGGTCTCTGCCTGTCTCTGCCGGTCTCTGCCGATCTCTGCCGAGCGGTGGAGGCTGTGTGCTGTTTTTCAATCGCCCAAACAGGACGAGACCAGCTGTCCAATTGCTGACAAGAATATCAAAGGGTAGGAATGGGAATGTATCCAATCAGCATCGACGTTGTTTCAGAACGTTTCAGAAGCATGATGGGCGATGGAGCTACCGCCAAAGGTTTCGTTGGTGTTCGGTAGAACTCGGCAGAGTCGTTTTTGGTCGTGACGCAGATGTAACATGGACGCCGCCAGTGACTACAACCAGCATGGATACCGGATCTCAGCAGCCACTGAATTCAGTTCGGTCTCTTCTCCAGTATCCGTTCGAGAGGAGAACTATGGTGGAAAAACTTAATGTCAAAGAGCTTGGACCAGATCAGCCCGACGTAAAGATAAGCCAGCAGGAGAAGGAGAGAGGTAAACTGTACACACTAGGCTTCTCCCGAAATTGGTACACCAGGAAGGCTTGGCTAGCTGGATGCAATCACGCTAATGCGTTATTTTGCTTTCCGTGTTTGTTATTCAAAACGGCTGGGACAGATAAGGCATGGATGAGTCAGGAGTTACAGACATGAAACATTTTTCTGAGAAGGTGAAGAAACACGAGTCATCCCGGGCACACATGGACAACAACAAGGTGAAGCTAGCCATGCTAGGCAGCAGAGCTAACGTTGCCATGCAGGGAACAACAGCAGCTGGGTGCAGAGGTAAGCTGTACATTACATTTCTGTGAACAAGACAATCAGAATCAGAAATCCTTGGTTGTCCCACAAACCGGGACATTTGTTTAATAACATGTTTAATGTGCAATAACTGTAAAAACTAATTTCAACACACATACTTATTATACATATTTAATCACATTAATGTGTATTTCATGTAAAATTGTACATACATCAATCTGATTCCATTTTACTTGTTACACTTCTGCTGCAGCAAACAAATTTCCCAGCTTTTGGGACAATTCAACATTTCTGATTCTCAATTAGATGTTTTTACCTCAAATGTAAAAACATCTGATTGAGAATCAGAAATGTTTTATTGTCCCAAAAACTGGGAAATATGACATTTGTAAGA